GTGCTTATAACGGTTCGTCACATACTCGTGCGTGGCTTGAGAAATTTAACCTCAAATCAACCTTTCAAACGTTTTTCATCGGATGTCTGGCGGACTATCACCCTGAACCTTCTTTCGAATCTTGGACAATGTGTGGTGAACTTTCTCCACATGTCGAGTCACTCCTAACCCTACTCGATCTCGAAGATATCGACAACCGCCTTGCACCGCGTTTCATACGGGTGTTTTCCTATGCTGGGAAGTACAACATCGAAACTGGTCGGTTTGAAAGGGCACGGATTTTGTTGGAAGCAGCACTCAGGGTGGCAGAACAGGCATATTGTCCGGGACACTCGGCGACCGTCCTTATAGTTTCTGACCTACAACAGTTGAGAATGTATTACCACAAGGATCACCCATTTCAGAACAAAATCGCAGGTGCTGCTACGCGGTTGTACACAAGCTTACTTGGCGTATTGATGAATGTTGCCAATAACATCGCCGCACTTGAAAGCTACGGTCTCTCTGTCGAAAAGACCTTTCAGAATCCAGCAAACCTAACCTGTGAAGAGGAAAAGGCGCTATCATTATATGATGAACTGAAGGCACTGGGACCGGAGGTTTTCAATGACAACGCTAGTCGCATTATGCACTTCACCCTCAACGCACCCCCCTGCCCCTTCACCTCCAACATGCTATTCTTTTTGGGTATAGTTACCAAAGTCCTTGGCTTCGACGACAGATGTGCGGAACAAGAGGCCATATATCGTGCTTTTTTTTTAGCTCGTCGGACTTGCTTTCCTGAAGAAGAAGGGCAAAAGCATAGTTCCGGCTCACAAAATACGCTTTGGCTTTTCATTTACGAGGCTATGGCGGGACAAGGGAAGGATCTGGAGATTACGGACCTGCTAGGGCCCAGGCCAACAACACTGAACCTGGAAGGTGTCGATATTTTCAACCAAGTGAAAGGTTATAATCTCCTAGGAGCTTTACTAGCAGAACAAAAAAGGTTGGAAGAGGGTGAAGAAATCTACCGAAAGCTCCTTTTTGACAGTCTCAAGGAGCTTGGCTCTCGCCACCCTAACGTGCTAAAGGTGCGAGGGCGGATTGCTACGATCCTTGCGCGGCGAGACAAGCACATAGAAGCGGCAGTCCAGTTCCGCCACGTACTTGAGTTGCGCAAGGAGGTGCTTGGCGATGAACACCCTGATACCCTTAGCAGCTTCTGTCTCTCTTGGGCAGACTCTAAGCCACCTGGCCAAACACGATGAAGCAGAAGAGTTGGTTCGGGGCTCTCTCCAGATCCTTCAAAGCCGTCATGAGAACGGGCATGTCCCACAAACATTTTTCCACGCCGTCATCACCTATGGTGCCATTCTCGAGCACCAGGGGAAGACCACACAATTCAATGAATTTCTCATGAATCACTGGAAGGTTACATACGTAGGTGATTTCGAGGCATGGGCAGGGGACAGGTTCGATGTTGCTGATGAAGGCGAAGAGACATCATCGGATGAAGACGAACCATATGACGAGGATGGGGATTCAGACATTGAAGAGTCAGACATTGAAGGGTCAGAGAGTGAAGTCACAGGCGGTATTCCGGCTGCAGAACCACCCAATGCAAGAACCGGAAGGATTGCCATCAGCGATTTGGTTCACGTTGATAACATGATGGGTGTTGCACGCCACGACAATGGCATAACTGAGAAGAGAGTACTCTGAACCCACTGGTAGACTATCAAACGGGCTTAATGTCTACAGTGTCGAATCGGCAGGTTGAACTCACTGGGG